ACCCAGGTACACTAACTACATAGAGATTATTCTCAGTAGTGAGTTTTCAAATTATATGAATTAATGGTAATTGCAGATGTCATGGTTACAAGGCTGACTGCACCGCTAACCCCTCTCAAATCTCTCCTAGTTAGGGTTGCCGACTTTGGCTGGATGAATTCCTGGAGATTTCATCACTTGGCATAATCTTTAAAGATGAATCTTTAATTCCTGGAGAGTCCAGGACAGTCCTGGAGGGTTGGGAGCCCTATTCCTAAGTGTACTCCCCTCCAGTATTAGGTCTCATGTCTTCATCTTTCTCAAGGTGGTGTCCCCACAATTCTTCCCCCCTGAGATCAGGTCTCAAGCTACAGCACCTTGTGTAGCAACTGTGATTCTCAGCAGGTCAGACTGGGTTTGGTGTCTGAAAATCTTCCCTCTGGGAGCTGTGACCAGCAATTAACACATGGACCAGACAGCTCTCACAAAACAAAAGTACACTACTGTTTAACAATGTAGGAACACTGCACAATGTAAGAGAAAAGGATGATTAACACAATAAAAGAGGTCTATACACATCTATTTTACCTAAGGCTTACCAGCCCTGTAGAAGCTTATGTAAGGTTAACTGCTTCAGACTCTCCCACAGGATCTATGTCAGTCTGCCCCTCAGGTACAACTCTGATAACTGCCCCCTCATCTCTGGTTTGAGAGAGATTTACTGTCCTCTGATCTGTTCATTCCTAGGCCTGCCTAACACAAGTGAGTAACTGGCCTAGGGTCATTCTCATAAGCAAACTAGAGAAATGTGGTCTAGATTAAATTACTATAAAATGGGTTCATCAGTGCCATGGTTCAAAGACCGAACTCAAAGGGCAGTTGTCAATGGGTCACTGTCAAACTGGGAGGGTGCATCTAGTGGGGTCTGGCAGGGGTCAGTCCTGGGTCCCGTACTATTCATTATTTTCATTAATAAATTGGATAATGGTGTGGAGAGTATGTTTATAAATTTTGCAGATGACACCAAGATGGGAGGGGTGGCAAGCACTTTGAAGGGCAGGATTAGAATTCAAAACAACCTTGACAAATTGGAGAATTGGTCTCAATTCAACAAGATGAAATTCAATAATGACAAGTGCAAAGCATTTCACTTATAAAGAAAAAATCAAACGCACAACTACACAACGGGGAACAACTGGCTAGGAGACAGAACTGCTGAAAAAATCTGGAGGTTATAGTGGATCACAAACTGAATGAGAGTCAACAGTGTGATGCAGTTGCAAGAAAGACTAATATCATTCTGGGGTGTAGTAACTGGAGTGTTGTATGTCAGACAAGGGAGGTAATTGTCCCCCTCTACTTGGCACTGGTGAGGTTTCAGCTGAAGTACTGTGTCCAGTTCTGGGTGCCACACTTTAGGAAAGATGGGGATAAACTGGAGAGAGTCCAGAGAAGAGCAATAAAAGTGATAAAAGGTTTAGAAAACCTGACCTATGAAGAGAAGTTAGAATAAATGGGTACATTTAGTCTTGAGAAAAGACTGAGTGGGAAGCTGATAGTCTTCAAATATGTTAAGGGCCATTATAAAGAGGACAGTGATCAGCTATTCTCCATGTCCACTGAAGGTGGGACAAGAAGTAATGAGCTTAATCTGCAGCAAGGGAGATTTAGGTTAGATATCTGGAAAAACTTTTTAACTATAAGGGTAATAGGAATAGGAATAGGCTTCCAAGGCTGTGGAATTCCCCATCATTGGAGGTTTTTAAGAATATGTTGGACAAACCCCTGTAAGTGCAGAGGGCTGAACTTGATGACTTCTCACGCTCCCTTCCAGCCCTACATTTCTATGATTCTCAGTAGTCTCTTCACAGTTCATAGCTTAGGTAGTGTGTCTCCTAGCCTCCTGTCCTGTTTACAAGGAGGGTTTTTATTTGGAGCCATTGTCTGGCCTTTATAGCAGTTTTTCAACAGCTCGGATATTAAACTAAACCAACAAATGCATACAATAAAGAATTCCAATAACCCAATGTAGCCAAACAGTAACTATATCATTAACCAAGTCAGCGATTTTATTACTAAATGATTACAGATCAGTCCCCCATGTCTTTCACAACAGGTACCCAGAAGCAGAGCTGTAGTGTAACTGCAATGTAACTACACTGCAGTCACAACACCCTTACAATGTACTATCCATGTGTGGTTTCAGAGTTACATTTCTTTTTGAAAGTTTAAGCAAAAGCAGTTCAGCCATTTTAGAGTATAAAGAGAGGAGGAGAAATGCACTTTTAACATTTTGTGAACTTTTACAAAAAACAGTTTTAGTGCTTGGGAATTTGTGGTAAAAATTTGGTGAGAACACAGGGTCAGATTTTTTAAAGTATTTAAAGGTAAATGCCTTTAAAAATCTGCAGCACAGTGCCTAGGATACATTTTAATTTAACAAAGTTATAAATGTGATAAAATGGACTTTGTGAAGGTGTCCTGGTTTTTCTTATCCATTAACTGGATTTTTTGGAGGTGGGGGGTGGAGAGGGAGGAAGGGGGGGCGCTGGAGATAGAATGAGGACATCACTAACTATCTCTCAATGTTCTACCTACTCTGCACATGTGTGCATAAGGAAGTTGAGTCGAATTTAGTTTTAATGTAAAGATGCATACGGAATTTTGTCTCTGTGTGTTGCATGAGATCCAGCTCATCTGCCTTATCCTATGTGATCTGTTCCTGGCTTTGGTCCAGCAAAACACTTCAGCACATCAAACTTTAAGTATGAGTGATCCCACAGACGTTAAGGATTATGCAAAAATAAAAAATAAAAACAAATTCCTAGAAGACTGTTGCTAATCCACCTCTTGAATAAGAAATAGGCTTCTATTATCTCCTAGAAACTTTTTGTTTTGCTCTTTGTTTCCAGTTCTGCAAGTCTTAGGCAGCAATGTTAAGGGCAGGTGGGATGACACTAAGCAATGAAGGATTATGAGCTGCTGGCAAATTTGCTGCATCCCTTAACTGCACTTCTGTCCCCTCAATGCTATCCTATCCCTTCTCCCCCCTCTCATCTGCCACCATTCCCTTTCCCCCATAACAGAATGGAAGGAGTCTACTGCTGCCATAGGTGCTGGGAGCTGCAGGTTAATACGTCCTGCCTCACTGGAGCCGGTGTAATGCATTAGATTGCACCCTGAATGGTCTGTGGCAGAGAGAGGAAGGGTCTGGCAGAACACAGATCCTGAGGCAGGAGAACTAGCACTCAAACCTGGAGGTGGGCTTCATGCACTGCGCTTTTGAAATTAACCTTTTTGTTAAGCGACCAGACCTCAAGAGGGGCAATGCTTCTGAGTCTACAATGAGCATGTAGCTCTTGCTTGCAGCTTGGGGAGGGGTGGGGGGGGGAGGGGAGCACCAGCTAATAACCATCTCTAAGCTCCTAGGATCCACTGCACCTGCCTTCACGCGCAATGCCATATAGTATCAGCATACTGTTCCCACCCGAGATGCAACCTCCTGTTGCCTCCCAGAGTGCCCCCTCATTACAAGATGAGGGGTTGCCATTCTCTCATGTGTCCCCCCGGGGTCATCCCCAGACCATGTCCCTCTCAGTCCTGTTCCCCTCCATGGCACCCTATTCTACCACATTTCCCCTAGTCTATTAGCCCCAATCGAAACTCTTCTCCCTCTGCATCAGCTCAGCAGTTGAGGCGGCAGCACAGCCTACAGTCAGCACAAGGTAAATTCAGATTATAAATGTTGTAACATAGTATTGATAGTTTAAGTGTTAGCCATATAGACAAACCCAGCTCTTCATCTCAACCCCCTCCCATGCAACACGCCACCCTTCACCATTCCCCTGAAAATACTGGGAGACAAATCTCCCCAGCAAAGCCAACAAAATAGACCAAGAGTGGAGTTTCTAAGCCTAGCCACTTTGGAGACATGAGGAATCAAAAACTGGTAAGAAAAATTATGAAAGTGAAGGATGGGTAAATTCACCAATCATAACATTAAAAATTCCTTTCCGGATCTTTCCCAAACTTCCCAGAAAAACTCTACCCGAGGATGAGATGCAGCAGGCAACATTGCAGGGGAGCTCCTTGGTTTTTATTGGAAGCTAGTTTCAGCCTTTAGTACAGGGAGGCTACTGCTGCTCCATAATGTTCCTTCCAAAGGGTTAACATGCTGCCCCCTTCCCCACAAAGAAGCAATCGTAACATGCTAACTTCTTTCTACTGCATGACAGTCTTCACTGCACTATATTCCAGTGTGTGAGAGATGCTGTATTCACTTATAGGATCAGTAAAAATGGTATAAAAAGTATTTAGAAATGTATTAAGTCTGGGAACTGCTAGATTATTAGTTTATCAGCTAGACATTAGCAAAACTTTCTTTTTATGTGCTGCTTAGTTTCACAAAACCTACCAGGCATATTTCAATTCTCCCTCTCCCACACCCTTCTGCTGCCGTCCAGCTGGAATACATCAAGGGTCTAGAAGCCAAGTCAAATGTTGACCCCACCCTCCTCCATCCATTTTAAGGCACCTTCAAAGCCAGTACACTGATCTAGTTCAGCTTAGCCAACAACGCCAGCAAATCTGTTATTTAAGACTTCAGTGCTGGATTTTTATAACTGCCCATTAATACAAGCTTTGATGTATGGTCAAAAAAATCCAGCTGTAATGATTTTCATCAGACTGTAGTAACCTTTCCTCAAAAGGGTCTTTATTTCTATACCTTCATAATCTTTATTCCCAACACCATTTTATTTCTATATAGTATCACTCTGAATTGCCTTATAAACCGGCCCTGAACAACACGAAACACTTCTCCTTCCCAAAAGCTGAAACAGAAGGGCGATTATAGTTCTAACAAATATAACTTTTTGCATCAGAGTTTGCAACACTATTTTGTTCAAAACAGCCTACATTTTAGGCTATAGTTACGTGAACCAGAACAGAAGCATTTGTTTTTCTGACAAAACACTTTGGGAAGGGTAGAAAGGGAGTTTGTAACAGGACAAAGAACTTACTCTGTTGTTCCCCTTTGCAGGAAGCAGCATGGAAAAAAAGGAACACGATCCATTAGATACATGTATTTCAAATGCATGCAGTGTGCTGTGTGTAATTTGGGTGTCACACAAACCAAATGAGGAACTGAATCAAAGTGTATTCCCTAATTCCCGCTGGTGAGAAAGCTGCAAGGAAGGTATAAGAAATCCACGAAAGATTTGAAACGGTGAGTCAAGTTGTAAACTCACAGCAACAGATGGTAACTGCAAGTTTTCAAAATGTCCTTTGCTTCTTCTAAGCATAAATCAGGAGCAGTGCCACTGAAGTCAATGGTGTAAGTGACAGTGAAAAGAGACCCAAAATGATTTGGGGATGGGCCTGTAGCCAACTGGACTTTCTTGCACTGGTAAAATTGAACTTCTAGCATGCAAGGCAACCCACTAAACATGTCTGCTTGCCATTTCATGACAGCCACTCCCCACAACATGCCAGGGAATGGAAAGTTTCACCATCCAATTTAAAAAAAAAAAGAAGAAAAAAAAGCAAATATGGTATATGTAGGCTGGTAATACGAAAGGGGAGCAGGGGAAAGAGTAGGTGGTGCCGGGGAGGTAGAGTAAGCAGAACAAACTTACGATGAAAATCTGCGCTATTTTTTTAAATTATGAGTTTTGCCATGGGCTGGCATGAACAGTATATATTATATAGTGGGAAACTGGCCAAAATAAATCCTAGGCTACGGTTGAGAAATGCAGTCTGGAAAGGTTAGTCACAAAAAAAAAAAAAATTTGTACAAAGTTGTAGTCATTTAAAAAAAAAGTGTGTTTGGATACGCCAACACAGAAAGCAGCAGTAAAGTCAGCTGGTAAACGGATCTCTCCTTTCAAAGTGAAACAGCAAGGCTGTGATTTATAGCCAACGAGCTGACTCACATGGGACAGGTTGAAAAAAATAAAAATACTGATTCATTGCTATCAGGGTGGCACTCAGAACCCCTGTCCTGATGAAAGCAAATCCTGGGGCAGAGAGGGGACTTGGCAAGCTGAAAAAGAAGCCAGGGTTCCACAAAGCAATGTCTGGTAATTATGTTGCGGTAAAAGATAGTGACCAATTGTGCATGCATAGGGCACAGAGCAAAAAGGAGAGAGAGAATCAGAAGGAAGAGGTGGGTTTGGAAGGCCAGGTTGATATTTGGACTAATTTTCAATGTATTAGGGACATTTGCACACACACACACACACACACACACACACACACACACACACACACACACAC